CTGGGGATAAGCTACCTCCAAGGACTTAGCTTGGAAGGACTTGGATTCTGAAGACTATTTTTCTGTTGTTTGCTTTTAATTGTTAGTACATGTAAAAACTCAAGCCTAGGGCTTTTCTTGTATTGAGTTAGAACTCGTATTTTTGTATCCAAGTGTTGGATTGGAAAGATATAAGCCTGTAGGGCATTTTATTCGATTATTTAGTAATACTCTGATGAATGAATTAATAAAATGTCTTCTTTAAATAATGCATGTCGATGATATATAATGGGTTAATTTTGAGGACGTTACATTAAATTTTTTGATTTGTATTAAAATTAGAGATTTTGATTTGTGGGGTTTGTGATTTTGATTATGAATTTTTATTTTGATTTTTAGTTTTTTTTCAAACAGTCATGGAGAAATATTTCAAAAGAAAATCAAAGTTAGAATCATCTCTTCCTCAAGAAGAAGATGATAATTATTCTTTCGCAAAACAAAGTCGCATAGAAATCAACTTAGTAAACCTTTTTACAGATCCAGGACTAAGGCCTCGGATTATGAACTATAATGCTAATGATTGAGACCAAATTCGTAGGGCATATCTACAAAAAGGTCCTTGTTAACTTCGTGATCATAATTTTCCACAAAAATTATTTGGACAAAAACTTCAGTGATTTAATCAAGCCTGGTTTAGTGAATTTCCTAATTGGTTGGAGTATAGTGTAGCAAAAGATGCAGCATTTTGTTTATGTTGTTATCTTTTCAAACCCAATATTGGAGATCAAACTGGTGGTGATTCTTTTGTTGGTGAGGGTTTCTCAAATTGGGAGAAAAAAGAAAAAATTTTGACTCATGTTGGAGGTCCTAATAGTGCTCATAATTAAGTTTCGAGTAAATGTCAAGACTTATTAAACCAAAACGAACATATTCAAATGATTTTTTTCAAACAATCTGATCAAGCTCGAATTGAGTATCGAACCCGTTTGAATTCATCGGTTGATTGCGTCAAATTTCTTCTAAGACAAAGACTTGCGTTTCGTGGGCTTGATGAATCTGAAAATTCAAGTAACCAAGGAAATTTTCTTGAACTTCTCAAGTTTCTTGTTGATCATAATGAAGATTTCAAAGTGGCTGCATTGAGCAATGCTCCACAAAATCTCAAGTTGACATCTCCTGATATTCAAAAAGACATTGTAAATGTGGCCGCATTTAAAACTATCAATGTGATTATTAGAGATCTTGGTGATGCACTTTTTTCTATTTTGATTGATGAAGCCCGTGACATATCAATCAAGGAGCAAATGGTAGTTGTAATATGATATGTTGACAAAAAAGGCCAAGTGATTGAGCACTTTTTGGGTATTAAGCATGTTGGTAATATGAATGCTCTCTCACTCAAACAAGCTATGGTAAATTTATTCTCCAGACTTGGACTGAGTATTTCCAGATTGCGGGGTCAAGGATATGATGGGGCTAGTAATATGCAAGGTGACTTCAATGGTCTTAAAACACTTATACTAAAAGAGAATCCTTGTGTATATTATGTTCATTGTTTTGCTCATCAATTACAATTGGCACTTGTAGTTGTGGCAAAGAATCATAATCAAAATGCTTTATTTTTCACTTTGGTTTCTAATGTGGTGAATGTTGTTGGAGCATCATGTAAACGTCGAGATATTGTTAAGGAGAAGCAAGCTGCAAAAGTTGCTGAGGCACTTAATACTGGAGAGCTATCTAGTGGGCAAGGCTTAAATCAAGAAACTAATCTTAAACGTGCTAGTGAGACACGTTGGGGTTCACACTATGGTACTTTAGTCAGCTTGGCTAGTATGTTTTCAACAGTGATTGATGTACTTGAAATGATTTTGGAGGATGGTTCAAATTCAGAACAACGAGCATAAGCAAATGTATTGTTGGACTTAATTCAATCATTTGAGTTTGTATTCAACCTTCATTTGATGAAAACGATATTGGCTATTACAAGTGAGTTATTGCAAGCACTACAAAGGAAAGATCAAGATATTGTTAATGCTATGAATTTAGTTCAAAATTTTAAAGTACGGCTCCAAAAGATGAGGGAGAGTGGGTGAACATCTTTACTTGATGATATTTTGTCTTTTTTGTGAAAAGCATGAAATTGATGTTCCCCAAATGGATGATATGTTTGTAGCTCGAGGGAGAAAAAGGCGAAATGCTAAAAAAATTACAAACTTACATCATTATCGTGCTGAGTTATTCTACACTGTTTTGGATATGCATATTCAAGAACTAAATGCTCGTTTAATTGAGTTGAACACTGAATTGTTACTTTGTGTGGCATGTTTGAATCCATCTAACTCTTTCTCTAGTTTTGATAGGAAAAAGTTAAATTTTATCCCAAAGAATTTTCTTCAGTGGAGCTCATGGTACTTAATGATCAACTTGATACATATATTATCGACATGTTATCTAGTAGTGAGTTCTCAATATTGAATGGAATTTCCAATCTTGCTAAGAAAATGGTGAAGACTGGAAGAAACAAAGTATATCCATTGGTGTATTTGCTATTGACTTTAGCATTAATATTACCTATTGCAACTGCTACTGTTGAGAGAGTATTTTCAGTTATGAATAGTGTGAAGAATCGATTACGGAACTGAATGGGTGATGAATGGATGAATGATAGCTTGGTTGTTTACATTGAGAGAGATATTTTTTATGGCATTGACAATGATACTATCATGGAAAGTTTCAAAAGATGAAAACTCTTCGAGGTCAATTGTAAAAGTTTAAAATTAAAAACTTTTTGTAATGAATGTTAATTTTTTAATGTTTAATATTAGCTCGAAAAATTATTATTATGTTATTGTTATTGATTGGGGAAGAAAATTTTTGAGATTATAATTAATAAGTGCCCCCCATATTAAATTCCTAGCTCCGCCACTAGTTGTTGTTATTGTTGTTGTTGTTGTTGCTATTGTTATTATTAATATTATTAAACCTTGGCTCTGATACCACATTTGTCACGACCCAACCCCGAGTGCTTAGGGCTAAATTCACAACTAGCTAATTAATTCTAATTTTAACAAATTAAGTGGCGTAGACGGAGACAAGATAAAGTAGTAAAGAAATTAAATAGGTAGATAAATAATCGAAATACTCAATAAATTAAAAAAAAATTATTTGGGACTTTTATTTATTTTATTGATGATCGGACAATTATAAATATATATATATATATATATATATATAAAGTCCTTATCAAGTCTTGTGCTAGTCCCATTACACGAGGTTACTACTTTTCCTTACATATTATCACCTGAAAGGGGACAACAACTTATCAGTCTTATCTGATTGGTAAGGAGCCTACCATGCATGACCAACCAGAGGAAAGTTTTAAGCTTGTGAAGAGCTTTCATTTTCCATATCCATTGCCAGTCCAGGCCATCTTCCTCCCTGTTTAGTAAGAGCATTGTAGGTTGCTAAGGTAGAGAAATTGCCATTTGTAGTTCCTTGCCAAATTGGAGTGTCCATAAAACTCACAAATCTAGGTCTCTAGATACTAAGGATGTTATCTTTGTCTTGTGGGGAGATGAGGTGCTAGATTGAGGTTAAATCCCAATTACCTTCTGCATCAAGAATGGAGCTAACTGTTGTTGCGTAATCAATGTTAGAATTTGGGTTAGTGTTACACAGAGGTTGAGTGCCACACCACCAATGAAACCAGAGTGATATATTCTCCACATTCTCTACATTCCATTTGATGTTAGCCTCCAAGACCTCCCTGTTTTTAATTATACCCTTCCAAATATGAGAAACATTTCTCTTTATAGGCCAGTTAGAGAATGAATGATGTTAAAGATATTTAGAATAGAGGATTTTACACCAGAGGTTCTCAGCTTTGGTAGTAACTTTCCAGCCCAGTTTAGAGATTAAAGCAGAGTTCTGCTCCCTAGTTTTCAAATGCCTAACCCACCTTGTTTTTTACTTTTGCGAACTTGATTCCAGTTCACAAGATGGACTTTTTTGGCAGTGTCAGTACTGTCCTAAATGAAGTTCCTGTTAAGTCTATCAATTTTATCACAAACAGATTTGGAAATTTCCATAGTTTACATAAGATGGTTAGGAATAGCTGAAGTAACTGATTTCACAAGGGTAACTCTGCCAGCTAGAGAAAGAGTTTTAGCTTTCCAGCCAGACAATCTGATAGTGACCTTGTCAATGATATCCTTAACATGGTTTCTACTAAGTCTGCTATGGAGAATAGGAGTACCTAGGTATTTACCAAGATCATTAGTAAGAGATATACCACATTAGTAACTAAGAGAAAGAGCCTCTCTCCTAGGTATGTTAGGAGAAACAAAAGTTTAGACTTATGGAGATTAATTTTTTGGCCAGAAATTTCACAGAATTCATTCAAAACTTCCATGATGCAATCACAATTCCTTCTGGTAGCCTGAGCAAAAAGTATAAGGTCATTAGAAAAAAAAAAGATGAGAGATAAGGATACTATGGTTGGCAACCTTAAGACCTTTCCAAGCTCCACTCTGGGTTTTGAGTCTAATCATATTAGAAAGGTTCTCCATACAAAGTACAAACAAATAAGAGGACAAAGGATCCCCTTGTCGAAGACCTCTCCCAATATTAATGCTAGGAAGCCTCTCACTAGTCCAAAGAATAGAAGAATTAATAGTAGTAACACAATTCATGATGAGATTTATCTAATCAGGGTTTAGGTGAAATTCTTTAAGTGTGTGGTGAACAAAATCCCAAGATATACGATCATAGACTTTCTCAAGGTCAATCTTAAGAACCATACCACCAAATTTGCCTTTCTTATTCCTGAGTGTGTGAATGATTTCCTGAGTTATGATAATATTATCAGTGGTAGTACGACCAGGATAAAGCTACTCTGATTAGGGCTAATGAGATCAAGAAGCAAGGGTCTGATTCTGTTAACAATGATTTTGGTGATGGTCTTATAGGTCACATTACTTAGGCTTATGGGCCTAAATTGCTTAATATTTTTAAGATTGGCCAGTTTAGGAATTAGCACAATAAGAGTTTCATTGACCTCTTTGGGGATGGTTTTGGTAGAAAAACAATGTTTGACAAAATTGCACATAGAAGGTCCCATAATATTCCAATTTTGGTGATAGAAAATAGCTTGTAAACCATCAGTCCCAAGTGCTTTAAAGGCTTTTATGTTCTTAATGGCTTGCCAAATCTCATGATTGGTAATGGGGCTTGCAGGGTCTTATTGTCCTCTCTAGTAAACCAGGCATTATTAATGTCCCTCCAGTGTTCAAGAGGAAGACTCTCCTCAGGTTTAAACAACTCACTAAAATGATGGATGATAGGGTTTTTGATGTCTTCAAAATTAGATAGCCAGCTCCCATTGTCATTCTTCAACAAATTGATTTTCAATTTTCTGTGCTTGTTGACGGTAGAAATATGGAAAAATTTGGTATTGTTATCACCCAAGGTAATCCATTTAACTCGGGATTTTTGGAACCAGATAAGTTTTTCCTGGAAAAGGGTTGAGTTATATTGTTTAATGAGATCATGTTCAAGCAGGAAAAGGTTATGGGAATAGGTTTGGGTTTGGGATTTTTGGATGCCTTCTATACGAGCCAAAAAAGATCTTTTTCTTTTATATACGTTACCAAATACATCCTTATTCCAAGTTTGCACATTATGAGTAAACTCATGAATAGCTTCGACAAGATTAGAGTTCATGTTAACCCAAGATTTTAAGACAACATTAGAAAAAGTAGGATGACAAAGCCAAGTAGCTTCAAACCGAAAAAGCCTGTTTTTAGGATTAGAGGAGTACATACCTTGTGTGAGAACAACCAGTGGAGAATGATCTGAGTAAGTTCAGGGCAGAATCCTCATAGTCCTTTCTAGAAATAGGGCTCTCCATTTGTCGTTGCTCATGGCTTGGTCCAGTTTCTCCATGGTGTTTGCCAATCCTTTCCTATTGTTCGTCCAGGCGAGTTTGGGACCAATATTCCTGAGGTCAATGAGATTGCCGTGGTTGATTCTCTTTGTGAATTTCTGAGCTCGGTTGTGGTTGTAGTTTAGAGAGTAACTTCTTTTTTCATTCTGGTTAGTGAAGTCATTAAAGTCCCTTGCAACAAACCATGGTTTTTCCATGGTTTGAGCAGTTTCTTCAAGGTTGTCCCACAATTCCTCCCTTTGAGAAAGGTTGGGGCTAGCATAAATAGCAGATAGGATCCATTCTTCATAGTCCTCCTTGTGGATGGTAGCCTGAATAACTTGGCTTGTGGCATGAGAGGCTCGGATGTTGACTTGGTCTGTGTCCTAGAGTAGCCAAATTCCTCCTACCCTTCTTATTGGGTCGACTATGGTAGCCGCAATGAACCCCAAGTTGTTGAAGAAACTGCCCATAGAGTTGTAGGAAACTTTCGTTTCCATAAGTATGAGAATTGATGGTTTGTGAGTGCTGATAAGCTCTCGTATGTTGCATTTAAAGGCATTACTGCCTGCCCCTCGGCAGTTCCAAAATAGCATATTGAGAGAATCCATAGTAGGATAGTCAGGGAGGGGGTCAGTAACCAAGCTTGTGAGGATACTTCTATGATCTTGGTCCCTTGATCACATAGATGCCATCTGAACTGAGTGAGTTGATGGCCCCACTCTGGAAGTCCATCTCGACTCTATGCTCAACCATATCTATTCAATCCACCATATCGTAGTGACGAGGTGAATTGCTTATCTCCCTTGATCTAACAATAGGCTCAGAGAATGATTCTCCATCTTGTGTCGTGTAACCTTCGATCGTGAGATCTCTTCGGTCTCCATGGTGACTTCCTAGGTTAGGAGATTTCCTGTGTTTGGGGGTTGAGAGGTCATCTTTTCTCCTAAGGATAAGATCTGAGATAGTGCGTTTGGTGGGTGGTTCGAAGGTACTTCTTCAGCTGACTCACCTATTGAAATTTCTAGGGTTTCAATTTCTTTTCCCAAAGAACTGGGGTTGGTAGTCGGCTGAGCAATAGACTGGTGGCTACAAGTTACCTGGGACAAAGTGTCCTTGTCTTTAGCTCTATTAGCCTTAGGGGAGGACTAATATGGTTTGCTCTGGATGTGGTTTTGATTCATGGCAGACTGGTGGGGGTGTATATCTTGTGGAATGACTTTGGTTTTGCTTGACCCAGCATGGGTTTGAGTTTGAGGGTGTGGGCTGGATATTTCCTTATCTAGGCCCAGTATAATAATAATAATAATAATAATAATAATAATAATAATAATAATAATAATAATAATAATAATAATAATAATAATAATAATAATAATAATAATAATAATAATAATAATAATAATAATAATAATAATAATAATAATAATAATAATAATAATAATAATAATAATAATAATAATAATAATAATAATAATAATAATAATAATAATAATAATAATAATAATAATAATAATAATAATAATAATAATAATAATAATAATAATAATAATAATAATAATAATAATAATAATAATAATAATAATAATAATAATAATAATAATAATAATAATAATAATAATAATAATAATAATAATAATAATAATAATAATAATAATAATAATAATAATAATAATAATAATAATAATAATAATAATAATAATAATAATAATAATAATA